TATTTTATAATTTTACTACTATTGCAAAAACAGTTTCTATTCTCCCTTTATATTTTCTATTTCCTAAAATTTCCCACAAATTACAGTAATCTGCTTAAAATCTTGTCATGTGATATGGTTTGACTGTGTTACCCGAATCTCATCTTGAATTTTTACATGTTGTGGGAGGGACCCGGTGGGAGGTAATTGAATTATGGGGGCAGGTCTTTCTCATGCTGTTCTCACGATAGCGAATAAATCTCATGAGGTCTGATGGTTTATAAAGGGGAGTTTCCCTGCACAAGCTCTCTTCTCTTGTCCACCGCCATGTGAGATGTGCCTTTCACCTTCTGCCATGATTGTGAGGCCTCCCCAGCCATGTGGAACTGTGAGTCCAATAAACCTCTTTCTTGTGTAAATTGCCCAGTCTCAGGTATATGTTTATCAGCAGTTTAAAGATGGACTAATATATCATGGTTTTCCACTGCAGTTAGGAAATGATCCAAACTTCTTCCCAAAGAATGAACCCTGCCCACCTCTTCATTCTCAGACAACACTGATCTTCTCCTCACTTACTGCTTCCAAACACAATAACCCACTGTGGGGCTGTGCAACTCTTTTCCTTCAGGGTCTGTGCACCCCCCACACCTTAAGCCCAGTTGATCTTTTCCTAGTTCCTGTGGGTGTAACTCTCTCTCACCCAATGTCTCAACTTACAAGCATCTCACTATCAAAGTCTTTCCTGGCCACCTGCCTATATTAAACTTATTCCCCCAGTAATTCTTCATTATATCACTCTGTTTTTCTTCACAGTAACTTTTCAGAACTGGTAACTATAGGTTTACTTGCATATTTTCTTTCTCCTCCTACAGTTCACAATAAATGAAGCTAGCATTGAAAATAGGATTTGTGGAAAAGAACAAGACAGAGCAGGGGATATGGGGGGACAATAAAGCAAGACAGCCAGAATCTACAAAAATTAAAAGAAGAAAAAGTCAAATTATAGCAACACCAGTGCTACTCTATTAACTGTTGTTGTGTTTGGCATGGTTTTATTGATGTTAGCATTGTTGGACTGTATTTGGATTTGCTTCCTTAGTTTGAGTGTCTAGTTTTCCTTTTTTTTTCTTTTTGAGATGGAGTCTCACTCTGTCGCCAGGCTAGAGTGCAGTGGTGTGATCTCAGCTCACTGCAACCTCTGCCTCCCGGGTTCCAGTGATTCTCCTGCCTCAGCCTCCTCAGTAGCTGGGACTACAGGCGACTGCCACCACGCCCAGCTAATTTTTGTATTTTTAGTAGAGACGGTGTTTCACCATGTTGGCCAGGATGGTCTCAATTTCTTGACCTTGTGATCCACCTGCCTCGGCCTCCGAAAGTGCTGGGATTACAGGCGTGAGCCACTGCACCCAGCCTTGGGTGTCTAGTTTTTCTCAGATGTTCTCAAGGGTCTTGTGGTTGGCAAAGCATCCACAGTTGCACACTCCCATACCTGCATGGCACACTCACGTAACTACACACAGACTCACTCGGAGCAAGAGAAAGAAGGGCAAAAGAAGGGATGAAAACAACCAACAAAACAGAAGAAAGTACTATAATTAGGAAAGGAGAAGGAAGGAAGGAAGCAAGATGAGGCCAGTACGGATGAAATAAATGGGTGGAGAAAATTATACGGGAGGGATTCATGATTCCAGTTCATCGTCAAAGGCCTGGAACAAGTATTTGAACTCTGACTTCTGTCACTGAAGTCTATACTCTTAATAGATATGCTATTCTAGTCGTACATTGATTATTTATTTATTTAGCAATATTTACGCATGGTATACTATCAAACTGTATAAAAAAGGACACTAATAAGGACCCATCCTGCCTTCCAAAAAGTTAACTTGCCATGACTGAACTTTATAGAAAAAATGTTTAGGATGTTCGGTTATCATTTTACAGACATGTTTTGAGAACCTTGTGTTCTAGGCACTATGCAGGGCAGTAGAAATACAAAATGATAGATGACAGATGATAGATAGATAGATAGATAGATAGATAGATAGATAGATAGATAGATAGATAGATAGACAGATAGATAGATGATAGATTATACATACATACATAGATCATAGATACATAGATAGATGCATAGAGATGATAGATGATAGATGATAGAAGATAGACAGATAGATGATAGATAATAGATGATAGATCGATGATAGATGATAGGTAGGCAGACAGATAGATAGATAGATAGATAGATAGAATATAGATGATAGGATATAATTCCTATCCTCAAATGGCATACAGAGTGGCAAGAGCATAGATCAGGTTACACAGGAGTGATGAGAGCTCATGGGAGGAGCTGGGTGTGTGCTGGGTGGTATCCTCAGTGGCTTTCTTTAAAATTAGGGCTTTCTTTAGAATAAGGGCTTTTCTGACTCAGCAGTGTGACTTTCGAGGTCAGCAGGGTGATAACAGCATTGCAGAAGGAGGGGGAAGAGATGGCATAAAACATACAGAAAATATAGTACACCGGGGACACAGAGAGGTATTTATTATTGCTAGAGACAGTTCCATGCATGATTTTAGGACAAACCAATACACTAGAAATGAAGGCAGTGTCAGATTATGGACCCTCTTGCTGGACACACACAGAAATTCTGCCCTAACGTCTACTTATTAGTGAGACATTGAAGGCTTTAAAAAGTCTACCATTATGATCAGTGTTGCGTGAAACTTACCTCAGATCTTTCTCTCACAGCAGTGGGACGGTGTGTATCAAAAGGCTAAGACCAGGTCGGAAAGCAGGAAGCAAAGTTGTAAACATCATCAGACATTCGGGAGCTGGTCAGAGGGTGTGCGCGTCTGAACTCAGTGTCCACCCTCCGTTGCAGGCTGCAACAGTCTTAAAACGGTGCCAGTGGGTTCTCCAGAGCTACAGGTAAATGTGGTTTTGCCCTACACTCAAAACCCACTTGATATGTCTCCCTTTTTCTGTTATCTTGTGTCATTTCTGTATCTCTGCTCAGACCTTTGAATAGCTGTTTGACTGCACTGGGTTCTCCATCTTGCCTTTGCTCCGTAGATACCCCTTTGAATAATCTGTAGTTCTATGCGACCTCCAGCTAGTACCCTCTTACCCAATATCCCATTTCAGGAGGGAAACCTTATAGGTAATAGCATATAAAAATTTTTTAAAAAGAGAAGATCATTTCTTAAAAAGATACTAATGATTGGGGTATGAGGAGGTTGGTGAATGAGAAATGGTAATTTTTATAGGGAGGGTAGAGAAAGCAGTTACCTCCTGCAATTCTGCCCAGGACAACAGGATAAGAGATGGTATCACTCACTGATTTAGAAAATGCGTAATAAAGAATTGGCCTCATACTTAAGGATCAGAAGTTCAGTTTTGTGTATGTTAAGATTGAATTGCCTTTTGGTGATTCCCTAAAAGGCAGTTAAATATGTGAGGCTCTAGAAAGAGAATTGGGAGTAAAGAACATGTTAGCGGTAGTTGAACCCATAGCAATGGATGAAATCACTTCGATAAATCTCATGGAATAAGAAGAGGGGAAAGCCACATATAGAAATCAAACTGTGCAAGTGTGGGCAAAGGAAAGGGAGCGCAATAAAGTGTCTGACAAGCAGTGGTCAGAAACTCAGGAGTAGGAAAGCAATTACCATCATAAAAGCCAACCAAGAAGAGAGTCCTCAGAAGGAGGGAGTGACAAACAGCATCAAATGCAAACAGCATGTAAACTGCCACGTGTTCCTCAGAATAGGCCACTAGAAAGTTCCATCGGTGACACGGGAGAAAGGGCTTTCTGCAAAATCACTCAGCGAGGAAGCTGGATTAAACGAGAAATGATGAAAGGATGTGTTGCAGACTATTCTTTAGATTAGATTGCCCGCATTTGTAGGTTAAAAGGTTGAGGGGGAAAATGTTTATCATTAAAAACTAAAAAAGATGTTGTTTCTATATTGAGTAGCATAATCTATCTATGAAGCAGAGACTGAAGATTTGGAAGAAAGTGAGTACCATGAGAGGGGCTATTCTCCAGGAAGTCCAGATGAGATACGCAGAGAACAGGGTTGGAAGTGACCCAAAGGCGAAGTGAAGGATGGCAGCTCCTCTCAGGCATGAGGAGTGATTTGGCGCTGATGAATGGAACGATGGTAGCATCTTAAAGGAGAAGGATTTGATCTTTAGCAATATGGGGTAAGAGAAACAATGTTTTATCAGTCTTAAATCAAAAATAAGTTACAGTGATGAGAAGCATGTCATTAACAGACTTACTCATTTATTCAAGTCACATTGATTATCTACCATGTACTGACACTACTATTTAGACGTAACAGTTAACATCTCACCTATAAAATTAATGAGAATTAATAATGAAAAATAACATTTTAAAATAATAAGTCTTTCATGTGATGAGTGTTAACAAAAAAGTAATATGAGAAATCAGGTTTGATGACATATTTTTTATAATTTTTTGATTGAAAAATAAAAGTTGTATATATTTATCATGTACCACATGGTGTTTTAAAATATACACACATTTTACAATGGCTGTATTGAACTAAAATAATTCCGATACTACCTCTTTCTTTCATATTGTTACCACAAGGAGGAGAGTTGGAGCTGAATGCTTGCTATTTGCACGGAACTCTGTGCGTCCGGTCCTCAAGTACAACATACAGTCATAGGCAGAGTGAGACATCTGAAATTGTAGAAATGTCTGAAATAGTTGCTGGCCCAAAACTACTCTGATGAGAGAACAGATGGGTGACAGCCTGGAGTTTCTATAAGCAGTCAGGAAAAATAGTCAATGTTAGCAAACAACATCCATAGTAACAAGCCTGAAATCGCCAAGAGAATATTTTTCATTACTGATGTGTAAACATTTGCCGAAGTTACGACGAGCAGAAGCTGCTTCTCCTAACCTTGTGGTGCCCACTCTGCTGAGTGTCTTTCCAAAAGCATTTCACTGAGCTCAGGGTACCTGTAAAACATCTCGTCCAGGAGCCTTACTTTATCAAAGAGTATAAGACACTTTATCTAATGGGTGTGCTTCCAGGAAACGTGTCCCCAGTCGTACACGCTACTTCCTTTCAGGTTCCTGAGGGAGACAACAGAAGAAAACAAAATATTAGTGGATTCATAAGAATTATCACAAAAGCCCCGAAAAACAAAAATTCATTTTGTTTACAAGGTAGGATTTGAGAACAGAAGAACAGTAAGTAATTATTCCTGTTTGTAATGATATTATGTGAATTCCCCTTTTACCGGTTTTCTACTGATACTGGAACAAAGTACTACAGACCTCGTGACACAAACCACCAGAAATGTGTTATCTTCCAGTACTGTAAGTCGGAAGCCCAGCAAGGATCTCCTGGGCTAACATAAATGAATTAGTTGGACTGTGTTCCCTTCGAGGGGCTTTAGGGAGAGTCAATTTTCTTGCATTTTGTTTCTGAAGGCCAACAATGATCCTTGGCTCAAGGCCCCTTTCCTCCATCTTCAAAGTCAGGACTGTTGTATCTCTCTGACCATTCTCACATCAGCACGTTTCCTTCTGACTCTGTACTCTGATTCCTTCTCATACCTTTAAGGACCCTCGTGATTCCACTGGCAGGACCATCTCCCTATCTCAATGTCATTAAGTTTAATTACATCTGAAAGTCCCTTCTGTCATGTAGGGTAACATATGCACACGTTCTAGGGAATACCCTGCCTACCAAGGCCCCATTGCTTAATTAAAAAGTTGATAACAGGTGAAATGGAAAAGATACAAAAATAATTTAGTCAGTCTCAATTATTTTAACACGTATGTTAAATGTAGATTTTTATCACTGGGATCAAACCAAGCTGTATATTCTACGTGGCCTTTCAATACTCTTCTACTCAAATAACAACTACAGAAGGTAAAAAGCATACAAAAAGATGGTGTAGGAAATGGTCAGTGCACAAGACCAGAAATTGCACACCTGTGTAGTGGTATTGGCTTTCTTATGTGCTGTGAAATCTCGGAAAAGTCCTAATTTTAAAGGTCTTTTAAATATGGAAAGTGGGGGGTATTATGCATCATTATCAGCGTATACAAAGATACTTTATAAATATAATTTCTCACTCTGCCCACTCAAAACATTATAAAACTCACATGAGAAATCTGCATGTGAAAGTTCGTTGTAAATTGTAAAACACCATCTAATTATGAGGGATTTGTAAAAATCCCTTGTAAACGTTTTTGAAAGCTTTTCACATGTATTAATTATCACTGATTCAGAGAGTTATAATGTATGTAGGACAATTGTTATTATTCTCTTTTCAATTATACAGCAATTGAGACTGACAGGATGTTTGCTGTCTCCAGCCAAAATAGTAACAGATTTGAGATTCCAGTGCTCCCTCAACGGGATTCTTCACCTCACCTCCTGGGTGTGCGTTCCTACATCCGCTTGTAAATTAAGGGATTAAGCACTCAG